AATAAATAAAATGATAATAATATTTTCGGAGTTCTGACACACAACACCAACTAGTTTCTAACTAGCAGAGCTTGTACTATGAAAGCTAGATTGACTGATAGAATACTTATATTTATACTTTTTTTGTAAATACATACATATTAAACACAGAAAACACCCGCACTCCGAAACAAATATTTGCTGATCATACAAACATTTGGTCCGACCCGGCAATCGAAACCGAAACCTCAGCACAGCAGTCGCACACGTTCCCACTGCACAACTGAGGCAGTCGAATTGGTTGACTATTACACAACATACACACATATAGACATAGGAGTGGAGGTTTAGTTTCCTCCACGTTTGAAGAAAAAGGGAAGAAATGAAACGTGTCACATTAATCAAAATGTTATTACCAGCATAAATTGAACTGTCATTGTTAAACACACATAAGGGAATGTGTAGGTTTACGTGGCTATTTCACGTAATAATTATATTACTAACAAATATCGTTTAAACATTTTAACTATCTCAATGTCTTATAAACTTTAAATATTCTATATTTTACATTTCGTCGTGTTTCAGATATAGGTCATAGATCCAAATTATATTTCATACAAAACGCTTTGGGCTACTCTTAGTAATTTAATTTTAGTAAAATAATAATGAGATACCTACTTAAAATCATCTTATAAGAAAATAATAATTTGTCTTCGTTCTCTGGTTCTTCAAGATGTAGTATTTGTATTAAAATCGTGTGTGTTTAGATAGTAGCGATGGTCAATTGACTGCACGTATGGCGCAGTGGTATAAGCGGTCACCTCGCCGCTTAGTACTACGCTGAGTGTTGTAGGTCCGATCCCCACATAGGACAACACTATTTGTGATCCACAAATTGTTGTCCTGAGTCTGGGTGTTCTTTGTGTCCGTTTCATGTATGTTTGTAAAGTCTCCCGCGACACAGGATATATTCCTAATGCGGGCGTTGTTTTAAATAAAAAGAAAAAGAAAGAAAAGAATGGTCACCCATCCCAGCCAGGTCAGTCTATGGATTGAGACCCCTCCGTGCCTTGCACAGAACGTTAAGCCGTCGGTCCCGATTGTCACACGAACATCTTTGTCCAACAACAGTCTTTCTTCGATTCGAGCTTCGATGTTGCCCAGCAGCCCTTGGGTTGTGGATGTCCAATGGTAGTCGCTCCGCGTAAAAAATCATGGTTCAGCCATGTTATAGTAGACTTAAAGCCGATCCCAACTTTATTTGGGAAAAAAGCTCTTAGGAAGTAATGTGTATTTATATTAAACATTTATTTTTTACTACCACACATTAGGTTTGTACCTGGGTTGGATATTTTTGATATCATGTTACGCTCTTTTTCATGGCTCCTTGTTACACTTTTCCATTCAATTTCGAGAGTAATCATCAGAAATGCTCAAAATAAATAGTATTAAGTTCAACTTTTTTATGTTTTCATGGCGTAGGGGGAAACGAGTAAACCGGTCACTTGATGGTAAGTGACTACTGGCGCCCAGCAACTAAGGAGTCAGCCCATTTGATTGCCGTCCTTTGCACCTTCGTCTCCTGCGATTAGCTCTCTGAAAAGCTCAGTTTTTGTGATGCCGTGGTATCCCTCCAATCGAGTCCGGCCCAAATGTACCGAAACATGGCTCTCCCACAGTTAGCTAATTAAATCGTTTTCAAAGTATGATTTAAAATGTACAACATTTTATTTTCTACCCATTTCTAGACATTATACCATTGTACATGTCATATATGTGGTATATAAAATAAATAGTGGGTAACTAAGAACAACAGGAGATACACGAACTGTTTATTGTGCAAACAAACACAGCGATATTGTAACACTACTACAAAATACACGCTGCTTTGAACTCGTTTGATGTGGATATGAAAACACATAAAGAGAAGTAAATCTTTAAGCATGTAAATGTGTAAGAGGAGAATGTGTGGTTTGGCACAACCGGAGCCATACCACGACCTCACTCTCACACTCTCCACTCGGTGTTAACCAATTCTTTCGTTGCTTTTAATCGAGTGAGAGAGGTTACTGAAGTCCAAAACTCCTCTAATTCTGGTGGGGACTAAAAAGGTTCAGAAGGGGCAGATAAATACGCAAAAATAATACTATAGTACACACTGAAACCGCTAAAGTAAACTTCTTCAGTTTATGTTCTTAATTGGATATCAAACAATAACATGACTCCTTCCACAGGGAAGAATCATAAAGGTACAAGGTACAATTTAAATTAATATTTCTGCCGAGACACAGTGAAGCAGCCATCTTAGTCACATTCTTACCTTATTAATACAATTTACAGAATAATAATAATAATTTACCGTGGGAGCCATGCTTCGGCACGAAGGGGCCGGCTCGACCGGAGTGACCACGGCCTCACAGAAAACCGGTGTTAAGCAATTCTTTCGTTGCCTTTCACTAAATGGGAAAGGTTACTGAAGCCCAAATCCCCCCTCCCTCTGACTCGAGCGGGAGGGACTCAAAGGGCGGCAACGCACTTGTGACTTTTGAGTTTCAGGTGTCTTAAATAAATGCTTACCATCAGGTGACCCGTCTGCTCGTTTACACCCTTATACCATAAAAAAAAGAATAATAATAAGGTCTTGGTTGCATTGTATATGACTAATATTTTATTGTCATTTGATTTCCTTATAAAGCTTGTTACTAAAGCAAACATACAACTAGTATATGACTAAAACGTGTAAGAGTGAATAGAAAAAAAAGTAAAATCAAAATATCACAAATTCTTTTCCAATATGAGCTAGGTGTGACATGTGTTTCAGGCAGCCGCTCGATGTTTCTTGCAAATGTTCCTACAATTAATTTAACACAAGTAAATATGTATAAATATGTATAGTAGGCCAAAACCTCCTTTCTAAGGAGAGGCCTATGTCCAGCAGTGGACTATTATAGGCTGTTGACGATTGACGAAATATGTATAAGCAATATAAGAAATTATAATTCTTTGAGTAATTTATCATCACAACCAGTTGTTGACTGATTTTTTATGATATAAGGGTTGTCTTTAAAAGAAAAAAAAAATGTAAAGGCCTCTTCCAAATTGAGCCAGTTTTCTCTGGATTGTGCTGTTTGTGTCCAGTTCGTTCTCCCATCTAGTGGAAGGTCTCCCTTTCTTTCTTTTGCCTACTAGCCCCTCCATTGTTATATGTCACAAGTGCATTACCACCCTTTAAGTCTCACCGGGAATCAGGGGGAAGTGAAAGAGTTTAAACCCACACTCACTCCGTGAAAACCAGTTTTCTGCGAGGCCGTGGTATCACACCAGTCTAGCCGGCTCATACTTGCCGAAGTATGACTCTTATACGTTCATAAAACTTTCTCATTTAAGGTAAAAATTAAATGCATATTGCCCTTACTAAGGTACAACAAAAAAAGTTCAAATAAATCGATTTCCACCAATTCCGTGTAATAATGCAAACTAATGTTTAAACGGTATAACGAGAGCAGATGACATGACCGTTTGCGCCGCCTTAGCATTTCAGTTGACAGGTGCCACGAAATGAGTTCCACAGTAACTAAGGTAATTACTGCGTACAGCTTTGATTAGGACATAAATTATAATACGCTAGATACTGCATTATATTTAAAAAATATCACGAAAAAAAAAACTTCCTATACTTGAACTTTTCCTAGTTTATTTGTTATCAATGTGAAATATTTTAAAGTTATATCATTTTCATTAATGTCGGCCTACCTGATGTGGGACCGGACATGCCGAAGGATCTATGGTAAAAGATACTGCTTGAGGCTTGAGGCTAAAGACGGGCTTAAAATACCACGTTATTTTAAGTCCGTCTTTGGAGATTAAAGAGGTTATTAGATAATCCTTTCCTGTTCCAATATAAAAATAAAGAAAATATTTTAGATTTTCTTATAAGAGTTGAAGTTTGTTGTGTTTCTTTTTTCTGTTCCTTTAGTTTTGTCTTATTTACTTTTAGTATTTGATGCACCTTGCAGCATAGTGGCTAGTGACCATGATTGCTCAGTCGGAGTTCCTGGGTTCGATTCCCACCTAGGACAAATGATTGTTTGATGAGCACGATCATTTGTTCTGTGTTTGGGTGTAATTTATGAAATATATAATATATATAATAATATGTATTTAATGCTTATCAGCAGTCTGGTTACCAGAGCACAGGCTTTGCTATTTTTTGGGATCAGACTACCGTGTGTGAGCTGTGGGCAGTTACTGTTGTTTTTTTAATATCCATACTTTCATAGTTTAATTTAGTTTGGCAATCGAATTTTGATTCCTTTATCATATTTCAATAAATTTCGCAAATATAAAAATCGCTGTTTAATTACGCTGCACTCCATTCCATAGAAATGTTTTTAACTATTTCTTTTAGATATTTATCTTATTCAATACCCATGATAAAAACAAAACAACCTACATGTAGAACAGATGGTTAGATAAATGCTATTAAACACTTTCGTAGAAGTAAGAAAACTTAGTTCCAGTTACAAAAAACAGGTCAAAAATACGTATTGATATTCAACCAAGAAATAAAACTTACTTTAAAAAATGGCAGATATTTTTGAGGAATTCTGAATTGATCACAAATTTATTAAAAGTATTAAACAGTTTTTTAAGGTCTGTGACCTGACGCAGATATAATAAAATAATGCAGTATGATAATGGACAATATCACGTCTGCATATGCATAATCCAATTTTTTATAAAAGGCTGAAAGATATATCTTATACAATTCTATACAGTACAACAATAATAAGATGTCATTATCAATGACATAAATAAGCATTCGATCCATTCAATAATTTAAAAATATTATTGTCAGAACTATACCTTTGCCAGCATGTTATACTTCAGTGAATAACCATTCACTGAAGATCAGAGGCTATATAAATAATAGAATTTCGAACAAACACAAACAGTGATTCTCTAACCTGCACCGCATTCTTACCTAAGTGCTGTGATCATGTGTTAATAGTTGCATCAAAATGTTGTTGATATATTTTTATATTATTTATTTTGTTACAAATTATAAAACTTTTAATATACCAACAGTTTATGCAAAAAGTGAGACAGTGCCTAAGAATCTTTTGCATAACGTACTTCAAGGCGGGATATCATACAGTATCAACAATGTTGTAAAATACGAACCCAGGCGTAGAATTAGAAAGAGATTGATATCGAATGATTTCGTGGAATACATGGAACCGAACGAACAAGATTACTACTACGATAGAGCACAGGACGATACAAATAATGATATTCAGTACGACAGGGTTAACTCCTTTTTAAATAACTTGAATTTACGTCGTAAATTTGTGAGTGCTAAAACAGCAGATCCTGACATTTCTGATATATCTTACGAAAAAAGTGAATCAACCAGTTATCCTTCTACAGATATGAGTGATGCTGTAACTTTCACTGATAATATGGAGAGTTCTTCTACAGGAATAGATATATTTAACTCTTCTGAAATATTGGATATATCTGGAGAACAAAACAAAGTTAAAAATACTAAAGGAAAGAGTAATAAAACTTTGCCTTTACATCGTGGAATAGTAAAACATTCATTAACAGAAAAATCTAAGGGAGAAATAACCTTGCAGTTGGAACCAGGTGGCCCAAAAACCCATTACGACATTTACAAATATAAAGATTATGAAGATTCTAACAACCTAAATCAAAGTCCAAGTCCTCTTATTAAAGTTTTGCTGGTAACTAGATTACCAGAAGACCTATTGGAACAAAAACCATCTCCGTACACAGTGAAAACAACTGCATCCGATTCGTCCACTTCAAGTCCATTTGATGTAAAAATTGTAAAGTACAAAGATTACCCAAATTATGAAGGCAGAAATGGTTATGGAAAGCCTAGTAATATAACACATGAGTACCAACAGAATACAAAAGTGACACAAGAATATAATCCGATTGTAAAAGTAGCAGTTCCAGAAATATTAAAAGACGAAGCAATGTTCGTAGAACAAAGACTAAAAGACAGCATGCTTTTAAAAACGAATACTACAGAGATCGAGAAATACGATATTCTAAGACCGTTACCTAAAGTTACTGACTATTAAATCCATAAATTTATCTTCCTATTACACAATACTGTTATCATCACTTTTGTTATTCCATAAATTAATATTTTGCACCATGTTATTTTGGCTTTTTTTACTTATGACCCAATTTACGAATGCAAAAATCCCAACAATAAAACGAGCAATTTAAAATTAAAAAGTTCAACATTCAACAAAGTGGATCGGTGGCGACGTAATAAAATCAAAACTGTCCTGTCAAAAACTGTCAAAAATTCCGTTTGATAGCTTCTTAAGTAAATTTAAGATAAAAATATAAAGCTGTACCAATGCTTGTTTTTATAACAAGGACATATTTAAGATAACAATACTTTTTTAGTTTAAATGCCGATGCAAAAGGTCGCTTCTATCCTAACGGTTTTCCTAGGTCCCCCTTTAGGTCTCTTGGTATAAATGGTGATTAAAAATTACTGTCGAAATGTCTCTTCAGTATCGTTGTCCATGCAGATTATTAGGCGCAGGATACAATATCGAGTTTCTTTGTCAGTTTGATTAACCAATACAACGACAATACGACACATCGAAAACTGACCCGCTTACAATATTCAAATTTAAATACAAAATATCTTTATTTCATAAAAAAATTAAAATTATTTGAAATCGTTATTTATTTAGACTCTAAAGGCGTAGAACAACACAAACACCATAGCAACAATCTCTGTTTGGCAAATAGTTTAGATATTTTTTTAAGTAAAATTTATGCTAATACAAAATCTATGATATTCCTGTGCCGATCCACAACCGCCCGTTTCTTGGAAACGGGCGGTTGTGGGTTGAGTCTTATGAGAAGAAAGGGCAAACAAACTCATGTCCACTCTTTTGCAATTTACAGATGAATACAATGGCATCATTAAATATACCACAACGTTATTCTGATGCGTGCCAGTATGTCCGTTAAAGGTAAAAGGACCATAAAAAGAAAAATAAGATTAGGAAAAAAGATCAAATATAAAGAAAAGTGAAGTGAAACATAAAAAAATAGAAAAAAAAACACCCTAGCCCACATCACATTTCTACTTAAGAAATAGCCAGCGCTAAATTATTCCCAAGCATTTTTGTCTCGTCTCCGTCTCTGTCTTCTTTCCGTGTGGTGACGGATTAAGAATACAGAGTGTCACCACCCCTATTTATCCCGTGGGTGTCGTAAGAGGCGACTAAGGGAGCAAACTACGCAGAACAACAGCACTGCACAGAGAAGGAAAACTTGACACAAACCCTATACCAACCCGTCTGGCCAGCGTGGTATAGTAGGCCAAAACCTCCTTTCTAAGGAGAGGCCCATGTCCAGCAGTGGACTAGTAAAGTCTGTTGATGATGATGATAATGATTTTTGTCTTCTATGTAATCCACAATTGAGTAATAGGCTTCCTGACATAATTTACGTTTAATTGAGGATTTAAATTTGTTAATACTTCTTCTTGTTAATAGTCTTGAATATCATTTTTTTTTTATAAAATCGGACACATTGACCTCGATACGTTTTTTTATCTTTTGGAGCCTAGAGGCGGGTACTAAAAGTTTATTTCTATTTCTGGTATCTATGGAATGTACGTCGTTTTGTTTTGCGAAAAGTTCTCCTTTTTTATTAACATAAATTTACAATAAACGAAGGTTAAAAGTAACGGCTAAGATTTAAAAAAAAAAAAAGAAATTAAGCGATGTTACCGTAAACAGAAGGTCAAATAACAAGGAAGAAGCAATTTCCACTTCCTAATAACGCACTTTTCCGCTTACTTAAAACAATAAATCTAAAAACACAATGATACAAAATCTTAAGAGGTGATATCTGAATAAATTATTATAATTTTTCCATCATATAATCATCAACAACATTAATACTAAAGAAACAATTAAAAAACATTTTAACAATCATGTTCTCAAAGGCATAGGTATATTGAACAGCCACACAAGCGTCCAAACTCTGTTAATTCAAAAACAGATACACAGATTAGACGACTTGAATTTTGGTTTAGATAGAATTCCCACGCTTCATCAATTACTATTCTCGTGAACTCATCAGTTGCAACTTACTTATTTGTTTGTATGACAGCTGATGCAGTTTCGTAGTCTGTTATCGAAATTTGATATTTCAATTGAATGCTTTGTTTCTCTAGCTAGTCTAGTGCTACATGGGGATTTTGTTCAATTTGCCTAAAAAAATGCAAGAATATTTTCATCATCATCATTTTAGCCGTAAAACGTTCACTGCCAGACATAGGCCTCTCCAAAATTCTTTACAATAACCGGTCCTATACTGTTCACATCTAACGGTTTACTGTATAATTTAAAAAAGAAAAACAATCAAACAGATAACATAAAAAAATCTAATTATGATTTTAAAAGGGCCCTAATTTATATTTGTAGTAACTGTACTTTTTTAATTTGGTCAGGTAAATTGATATTCCTTAGACAGAGAAAGGGAAAAACAGATCGGAGGTTGACAGTGTTTCAAATAGTGACGCTAAATTTTAAGACCAACTCTACTCATGGCATAAATAGTACATAATACCCAAATTAGCGGTAAAACAGAGATTAGTTTTAATTAATTTAATTTATTACAAACTTAACACCTCACATTGTATCATAATACATCAAAAATGTTTAGTTATTTGGGGCTTACTATTATTTACATAATTATATTCTGTTCGCATGTTAAATCTTTAGATTTCTATAGACTAATGAAACTGAATAAATACCTTACGCGACCAACATCGAAAATGGTTATTAATAGGTTGTTTTTTTAACCAAATGGAATAAATATAGCAAATATAAATAAGTATAATCCTGAAGCAAATTAAGCACCAACCTGAAATGCTTTGAGTACCCGTCAACTCGACCTGATTACTAAAATGAGCTCCACAATTCTGACGGACATGCTTCATGTAGACTGAGATTTTTACATCAGAGCTTTATCTGACAGGAAAATCTCCAGTCACACTGACATTTTCATAAAATCTGAAATGTGTATTTATTTACATGTACCTATTAAGTTTTATTTCCATGCTAAACAAAATTGAATGGTAATAATGACATCGTTGATAACAAAAATATTATTAGTGACCTAGACGAGATTCAAGATTGTTTATGTCGATGGCATGTGATAGTACGGTACGGTTTTGGTTGTACCAAAATGAAATCGCAACGAGCAGACGCTACCACCGCTTGCCGTTCTTGTGACTCCTGATAAGCAATACTCGTTTAAAAATGAACAAATGCGTTTCGTCAAGCCATTTACTTTAATGACCAGCTTTTTTTATTTGATTAGCAAACAAATTTAAAGTTTACTCTTAAACAACTACCTCATAGCTGATAAAGAATGATCACTGAACATGTTTTAACGCGTGTGATGCTAATGTAGCAACTAATTCGCCTAGTTTTAGAAAGTTCACCAAAAAGAAGAAAATGGAAAATAGTACATGAACAAGGGATCATCAACGTAAGAACTTGTATATTTATGATGCTGCTTGGAAGTAATAATGCCCCAGTGGCTGTTGTACAACTATTAATCAAGATCACGATTCATGTTACAACGGAACGTATTATACTGTGAGTGTACTTATAAGACTCTGAGAGGGTCTAGTGATGGTTTAAGTTAGAACAAATATTATATATCGACAAAATGTGCTAATTCAAAGTAATTTTTAATCATTAATGGTGGAAAGGTATGTATTTCATTAAATATGGGAACTTAAAGGTGAAATAGTGTTACTATTGATTAAATAATTAGTTTTTTTGCAATTACCTATTACTGGTATCATCATTAATTTCCTAACTTTTTCGGAACACATGGGCCGGATCGATCGGAGTGACACCACGGCTCAACAGAAAACCGCTGTTTTTTTTTCGATGCTTTTCACTAAATGAGTGAGGTTACTAGATTCCAAATCCCCCTCCTTATTCTGGGTATAGTGGCACTCAAAGAGCAGCAACGTAATTGAGTCTCTTGAACTGAATGTGTCCAAGACCCTCGGTAGTCACTCACCATCAGATGACCCTGCTGTTCTCATCTGCTCGTTGTATGTCTATCTTGTGTTTACAGACTGAGATTGGAATATCAACCAGTCATTACTATGATTAATTGGTAAATTATTCCTCTGACTACAACTCTATGGTGAATGCAAGAGTTTTTAAGTTCACTACCACAAAATGTCATTAAGTTTCGCAAGAGTTTTCCTAAATATATGTTTTCTCACTTATATAACAAAGTAGCAAAGAAATGCGATCTGGGGCACTGCAAAATATTTGAAGCTAAAACTAAAGTTTTTATCACCGGCTTAAATTATAAGGATACAGAAGAACTCTTAAAAACTATAATCTGCAAAAAAATGAATTACACACTCATACACACACGCACCCACAAACACTCAAACAGATAAACCAAATTTGACTATAATCTAATCAGTAAATAATGAAAATGTCGATAAATTAAACAATATCGTCACATCACTAGACGCCCTCCGTTAATAGTCTCCTTATAATTATAGGTTATCGTCGCGCATGATTTCACTGGCTTCTAACACTTCTTTCTTTCAAGCCAGGCGGTCGTGTTAATTAGTTACTCTCACCGACAGATAACAAACCTTAACGTAATAGCCTCAAAGTTCATTTTTGCTCAGTCCCTTCACCAGTCGCTCTCAATGACACTTTGGCAGGCTGAAGAACTATTCATACGACAGCGCCTGATTTTTCCCAGATATTTGCTGTGACATTTTTGCTTAGTTTTTATTTTCGTTTCGTGTTTAGCTTTCTGAAAATCTACAGTAGCGTACGAATTTGGACGTTGCAAAAGTCACGTTCTAGTCCTGTATTACCATGCATGTTTGAAAAAAAAACCTTTTTTACATTAGGTATTCGAGTATCGACTCTACAAGAAAGAGAGGTGCTCAAATAAAGCCTTAAATAATAATAATAATAATAACATTTATTTCATAGTAAAGTTTTACAGTTTCATTACATAGGTTATTATAATAGTTAGGTATATG